TTTACTTTTACTAATATAGGTCATAAGTAAAATACGTTACTAATACTAATTACTAACGGAAGGTCGTAAGTAAAAGTAAAAGTAAAAGTAAAAAGTAATACTAATTAGTAAATACATTTACTAATTAGTAACGTAAGTAGTATAGTATAGTATAGTATAGTATAGTATAGTATAGTATAGTATAGTATAGTATAGTATAGTATAGTATAGTATAGTATAGTATAGTATAGTATAGTATAGTATAGTATAGTATAGTATAGTATAGTATAGTATAGTATAGTATAGTTTCTATACTTCTTTATATTATTTATATTTATACTTATACTATTAGGTATTTAAAGAGGTAAAGGCTTTAGAGGGAATTATATATAGCGGGAGTAAAAATTCTGAATAGTAGGAGGCTAAATTTGCCTAAGGCACAATATACGTACTATACCTACCTACTTTTCGAAGAGCTAAGACAAGATAAGGTCTCTAGGCAATTAAGAGATAGAGATAGAGATATCTACCTAAGTAATTAATAAATAGGCTTAGAGACAGAAATACCTAGGTAATTAAGAGATAGAGATAGAGATAGAAATAGAGATACAGACGGAGATACCTACTAACTAGTTAGGCAATTAAGAAATAGAAACGGCAATAGATACGGCGTAATAGATACGATACGATAGATACGACGCGATAGATACGGCGCGATAGATATATAGCGTAATAGATATATAGTATAATAGATATATAGCGTAATAGATATATAGTATAATAGATATACGGTATAATAGATATATAGTACGATAGATATATAGTGCGATAGACATATAGCGCGATAGACATATAGCGCGATAGACATATAGATTAGCGCGATAGATATATAGCGCGATAGATATATAGCGCGATAGATATATAGCTAGGCCTTATTATAGGTACAACCTACCCTAGTAGGTATATAGGGTAGGTTAGGTATTAGCAATACCTAATAGGTATAGGTATTTAGCTAGGTATACCTAACCTATCGGGTTGGGTACAAACCTAGTAGGTATTGCGAAACCTAGTAGGTATTGCGTACCTATTAGGTATTGAATCTTCGTATATAGAAATAAAAAACCTAGAAACCGGGTGCCCTAACGAGAGCGAAGAAGCGATTTATTTAGACTAGGTATAAGAAAAGAAACTGTATATAAACCCGATATAGATACGAAAGTAAAGATTATAGTTAAATTGAATAAAGAAACTTAGGATTATATATACGCTATACTACAAGTTGTGATATTTTGAATCTTAAGAAATATAGTCGGCAAATATAGTCGGTAGGTAAACTTTATATAAGCTTAAAGCAATCTCCCTATAATCGTCTTATAGTATTCCGGAGGCACTCTTGCGCAAGCTTGAAGCTTAAGTGTACTAATCGCTTTAGCTCCTCTACTACATTACCCTCGTTATCGCTAATCGTATCTAAGTTACTAATCCGTTCTATAAGATCTTTCGTCTACTCTCGGTCTTTACTAAGGATCTCCTATAAAGTTAGAGTACTAAGAAGCGCTTAGGAAACCTCTATAGCCTCCTAGACGATAAGAACTCTAGTATCGTACTTATCGTCCCGATAGCGAAAACGAGATACTATTAATCTAGAGAATATTGCTATAGTATATTAGCGATTAAAACAACTTTAGTGTCGAGCGATACTGAAATCGCGCTTATACCTAACTCCGGCGGCAGGAATATAGAGAATATCCCGCGCTATTAATACGAGAGTAGGGTACTTAGACTCTATTAAAGACTACGTCTTTAGTACCTCGAATAGATCCCCTTTATCTATATTAGCGTCTAAATAGTCGGCGAGCTCGTTATCCTCGTTAGTACTACGTCTTTGACTTTAAGAAGACTCTATACTCCTACTAAGAGTAAAGTCGATATAGCCTTTATACCGACTTCTTCTAAAACGGCCCTACTAGGTAGAGGTACTTAATAATAAACGATAGCTCTTCTCCTACTCTGCCCTTAGCTTACCCTTATAATACGCGCGGTAACTTTTATCCCTAAAGTTATCGCGTACCTAGAACTTCCGCTTAAGGCAGGGGGTAAGGAGGACGCTAATACCGTAGTAATCGCTAAATCGATCCTAGGTATCTCGATAATATTTCTCTAGCTTAGCCTAAGCAGCCTCGTATACCTAAAAGACATCCTTCTTCTAGAGTATCCTCTTATTCTTAAGTCGCTTTATCGCCTCCTCTAGAATATCGAAAAGCTTGTTGTAGTATACGAGGACAAGGTAAATCGTCGGACCTTTCGTAGTTCTAATTACCGCTATCGCCGCTGCAAATAGTTTCGTAAGGTCGATAAGGTACTTTACCCTTTGCTATTCTTCGGAATCGATACCTATATCTTTAATTAGGTTAAGTCGCTCGATATAAGATTTAATAACTACTTAGAGTCTACTAAAGCGATCGAGTATTAACGTTATTAAGGATTACCTTATCTTTACGTCTTGAACGACCCTTAGGATACGATCTTGAACGCCTTTCTACCGACGGTACTTTACAAATAGCTACTTCTTTTAAAGTATCTCTTTCTAGAGGTCGATAAACTATTCGAACCTTTAGGAGCTCGAGTTAATAAAGACGTAAAGCTTCCGGATCTAGAGATCAAGATTAGCTAGAGTAACGTACTACCGACTATAATTGCCGACTATACGAGTCGACTATACTTTCGAGGTAGAAGGGTTTATAGTTTATTAGGCGTAGATACTAATCTTACCTTTAAAAGAAGATAGGGTATACTATTAGCTTAAGGACGGCTAATTTGCTTACTCTATACTCTTCTTCTCTATAATATCTTTCTATCCTTGTCGTAATCCTAGAATTCGGAAAGGTCGTTCGTAGAACAAAGCCCTAGGCGGTCGAAAAAGGCCTTTAAAGGAAGTTAAGTAGTATAGGTAAAGTAGGGAAATCGCTCCGGACGGCTACCTCGATTATACTCCGTAATTGCCTCCTCCTCTTCCTCTCCTATCTCTAATTCGGGACTAGTCTCCGTACCTAGATAGAGAGGTAGCTACTCTAAGCTCGTTAGTAGCTTAGTAACCGTTATACCGTACCTCTCTTAACAAGTATTAATCGCTAAAATACTATAGAATATTAGAGGAGAGTAATAATAGTAGAGTAAGTATCCTTATATCGTATTGTATAGCGTCTTATTGTTAGAGGCGTTATCGTACGTAATAGCAGTTAATCGGCGCTTAATCTCGAACTCTTATAAGATCTCGAATAGTATCTCCGTAAGATAATTACTAGTATAACGGCTAGTAATATAAGGGAAACCAAGCATCCCTTCGTACTAAGTCTATTAGTCGTTAATCTAGTAGACCTATATAGTTAGGAATAAGGTTTTTATAGTCCTAGATTGCTAACTATTATATACGATAGCTATCTTAAATCTTCTAGCAAGACGGGCTTTAAGGGAGTCGGCGGAGTCTATAACCTTAGTATCGAGTATCCTTCGGTATATCGACGCGTATTTGAACGGAATTGTCTCGACCTATCCCGGGAGTAGTACTATATAAGTCTGTTTTACCGAGGGTCGTTCAAAGAACTAGAATAGTAGACCGTTGTCGA